TTTAAGAGGAGTGGGGTCACGAGTTGTAGGAGCGTATGTAGATATGTCTGATAGGAGTTCAGTCATTTTTCTATTATAGTCTGTGAGGTCCATGATAACTGTTTTATTTCCTTTGTCCGCTTTAGTGATGATGATGTCGTCATGATTTTTAAGGAAGGAGCGTGTGGAAGAAAGATCTTTGAAGAATTGAGGGGAAAAGTTAGAAGTAGTGGATGGGGGGTGTTGGAGATGGTTAGAGATAATGTTAGTTATGGAAACACGAGATAATTCTTTATTATCATTAGAATGGTGAAAGATCGGATCGCTATAAATATATTCCAAGTCTGTAATAAGTTCAGGGATGAGTTTGGTAGAGGAATTAGGGGTGGAAATTTTTTTTTTTTTTTCTCATTCAATTAGACTACAAACCATATGTGTTGTGTACATATATATATGGGTGTGTATATGTGTGTATATATATATATATATATGTATGCTTGTGTTTGTATATATATTTATATATATATATATATGTGTGTGTGTTTGTATGTGTATATATGTGTATGTATGTATGCGTTTATTTTTACTAGAACTTTTTTTTTGACACTGCTAACTAGAGTTTTTTGACACTGCCAGTGTTTCAACTGCCTCCCGCAGTGCCACATCTTACGGTATGTTTTGACTTTTATTGTGATTCTTTTCTTAACACACCTATCCTTCAACTATACACCTTATTATTATCTTCATGCAGCCTACCATTCCATTACCGCTTTCAAAAAACTAAATGTCAATTGTCATCTATATATAGTACAACCTGTTTTTTGTTTCTTTATCATCATAACCTTGTTTTTACATTTATTCTTACATTTTAAAGTATTTTTTTAAAATTATTGTTTTCTTATAGAGTTATTTATACTTAATAATCTATCCCAACAATATTACACTAATGTTACCCTATTAATCTTTCAATTTCTTCACTTTTTAACCTTTGGTCCCGTTATCTGTTTATTTACAATTAAAGGTAACCTCCACTTGCTTGTTATCCACTGATATCTTATTATTATGTTATCTTATCCATATTTTAACTTTACTGTAACAATAGTTATTCAATTTTCAATCTATTTATTCGTTAACATTCATTTATTCGTTAACATTCATGTATTTATTTTCTTTTATCTATTTTCTTATCATGTATTTATTTTCTTTATCTTTTATTTCTGTATCTGACAACTTCTTCGTAATTTATATATACTTATATTTATTTTTTATTTTATTTTTATTTTTTCAACATGTTTGTATCTTTTGTAGCCCTGAAGACGACCTGCAAAGTGGGTCGAAACGTCGGCAAAAATTAAAATTATTTATATATTTTAATTTTTTTATTTATTTGACTGCACCCTCGACTAACTCCTTCTCATTTCTAATTTTAGCTTATACGATTCTTGAGTAGACTTTCTTTGGTACTATAAACAGTAAGGAATCTCGAATAACATTTCCTAGTATCTCATTTCCTGTAAAGGGATAAAACTACAGTCCTTTCATATAATTTTCTAATACATTTGTAGCATTTGTACGCACAGCATTTCGGATTACTTCTTCCAGACCAGCTGACTTGCCAATTGCCTAGAACAAATCTTTCTTGCTGATGAAATGGTCTTCACCATAATAAACCTGCTTAATATCATCCAAACTGATCAAGCATTTTTACCCCCATTTAGCAGAATCTTGAAATATTCTGTTCATCTGTCTACTATATATTCGTTTAGCCATATAATGGATACTGATCCTTGTTTTCTTTTCCGAAATTTTTGCACTTCCTTTGTCGTTCGCTTAATGTATTTTTCCAATTTTTGGGTTCAATTTCGCGTTTTCCCTCATTTTGAGACCAAATACTAACAATCAGTTCCAGTTACCTAGAAGAAATTATAGCTTCGCCCTATTTCTTTTGTGCAGAGGGAATAATGCACTTTAATATTAAAAGTTCCTATTTTTTATGATATGGTCCATCTTTCGAATAAAATAAAGGAAATAAAAATGGTTTTTTTAATAGCGATATAACAATTTTACTAAACAATCCATCACCTATTCATTAAAAGCAGTTCAGATTAGGTATATATTATTTTAGTTTATAAAACAGATATTAATATGACTCATTTCCGGGGAAGTATATATAATTTAAATTACCTCTAAGAATCACTAAATATATAAAACAAAATGTTAAATTGCAAATATTAAATAAAAAAATCAAGATATTCTGCAAAGTATTTTTGAATTAAGTTTTATTATTATAATTTTATAATTTTTATAATAGAGGCCTTCTTAAGCGATCTCCGTATAGAATAAATGAAGTTAAATTAAAAAAAAAATAATAATGAAAAATAAAAACAAAAATAATAAATTTAAAAAAAATAATTTTTTACAATTAAATTATTGTATTAATATTTTGTTCGTTAATATAATCAATAAAATATAATAAAAACGTTATTATAGCACTATAACTAAGCCATTTATGAGTACTGAGTGGTGTGTTAGAGGCCTGTAGACACCCACGCCAGTAGCGCTTTTCTGCCGCTTAAGTACATTTTATACGGAACTACTTCAAATATTTTAAAAAGTAATCAGTGTTTTAGTAAGAGAAATGTATTCTCCAGATGTTTTATTTCAGCACGTTTTGCATTATTTTTGACCGTTTAATTACAAACGACGCTTGATTTTCAACTCAAAAATTTTTTTGTAAAAAAAATTGACTTTACCGATTTTTTTTAATGCCTAAGCCAATTAGTTTTTAATATTTTTTCATGTTTTATTATTCTCTGACTATCCAGCTTTAATAAAAGACCAACTATAATGAAATTAAGCCAAATGCTGATTCTCAGTAACAAAAAAACTAACTAAAGTCAAAGTCGTCAATCCGCCATGTTTGGACGCCATTTTGGGGCAGTTCGTTCACTTTTTTTTGTGGGAACATTGGCTTCTTTTTAATAAATTTTCACAAGGAACACAACGATATGCAATTTATAGGGATGTGGGGGGGGGGGGTGCACGGTAAGGGGATCTGGCCCACCGTGTATAATACATACTCCAAAATATTGTTTTTAATAAAGAAATTCTGTTTTGTATTTTACAAAAATCGCTACTTTTATCTAATTTCCCTAACAAAATGGAAAAAAAATTACTTCTTTAAATTTTATAAATTTAAGCTAATCCTTATTTTTAGTAGTCAATAATGCCACATCTTGCTCTAATTATGCCTTGCACACATTCTGACATGCCCATAATCAACTGGTTAATGGTGTCTTGGTCCAGGTTTCTCCATTCTTTTACCACAGCTTTCTTAATTTCCTTGGGAGTGGTAGGAACACTCGGTTGACATTGGACTGCTCTGTGAAGCATATCCATGACATGCTCAATGGGCTTCATGTCGGGGGAAAATGGTGGTATTTCATTTTGTCGATACTTGCCTCATGAAGGGGAGGAGGGGGGTGCACGGTAAGGGGGTCTGGCCCACAGACTATTAGATTGTACTTCATGTTACCGAATCCCTTGAATTTTTAACTTTTATGAGTTTAGAAAAATAGGGGCAATTGCAAAACTTTTTTTGATGTGTGTAGATCTTTTCTATAATATGTTTCTATTTTATGTTATTATTTTAATGTCTAATGTTTTTGGTATATCAAAACCAAATTTATGATGCTGTATTATTCAGTAATATGCCAATGCTGTACTATTGGTATTTTTTATGTTTTTACAATATTTTTTTTGGTTGTCGATTCTTCTTTTTAAATTTTTTGAGGTTTTTCCTATATATATTCCCTTCTAGAAAATCCATTCTTATGTATAAGGGTGGCCAGAAAGTAATGTTGGTTTCTTACATTAAATTCAAACACATAAATTTCATAGGTGTTTTTATTTTTAATCATTGATGGAATCACTCTCATTATCAACAACCTTTTGCCATTTAGTATGCAAATTTTCAATGCAGGGTCGATAAAAATCAATTGGTTTTGAGCAAAATATATAAAGAGATGGCATTTTGGATATCATTCAGAAAGTGTTGAAACGATCCGAACAAATAGAAATCCGATGGTGCAACATCTGGCGAATATGGTTGATGAGATTGTGCCTCCCACCTTAATTTATTAATTTTTGGGTTTGTCTCATGCAGTGCGATCTTGCATTTTTGTGTTGCATAATAATGCCTTTTCTGTTGACATTTGCTGGCCACTTTTCAAAAAGAACTTTAGGCATTTACGAACGTCTAATGCATTTGGATAAACATCAAAAATGTTTTTGGTAGCAACTGTTGCGTTACTACTTTTGCAAAACTAAAAAAGCATGCAATGCCCGATATGTACCCATTCTGGTATTTGGCTAGCCATTTCACCAAAAATTGCAAAAACAAAATTTAATTTAATATTTGCAACTAAAGAAGTAACTACAACCTTAGAATGTCTTTGCCATGCCATAGATGTACATAATGAGCTGCCAAATGACAATAAAATAGAGACATGCTCAGAAACGACATTACTTTCCTATCTACCGAATATAAATATGACATGGAAGATGAATTCTCTTGTGCATTTTAACTATAACATTTTTAGCATAAAAAGTTATACCAGGACCTTTATACCATAAAATGCCTAGGACCTTATATAAAAATAAATTGTTATGATTAAAAGAGTAGATCTCAATTAAGACTCAAATTTGTTCTACTTTACAAATTGTATTCATAATTTTTTCTCTAGTAGGTGGTTAATACAAGATTTTGGCCACTAATTGAAACATTATCTAAAGTTTAGATTTTTCCATAAAAAAAAATATCATACAATAGTGTACCAAGGTTATAAAATTTTAATGTCAACCCAAATCCAAAAAAACATATCAGCTCCAAACTATCCGACCTTGGACATTTAAAAACTATATTGTTACCTAGACCAGATAAGAAACATTGTATTTGTAAACACATAGAAACCTTGTCAAATGTATTAAGCAATACAACAAAATTATCATAGAGTAATTACCTACTGTTAGATGATTTTACTTGTGTGAATTCGGGATCCTTAATGCTCAATCTTTTTATTTCAAGATATCTTTCTAGGTTTGATTCTGCTTCTTTGGACTGAAATATTCATTTATGAGCATTAGTTCACAAAGTATCTTTGTATTTTTCAACTGTATGTTTCAAACTATATTATTATTTAATATAATTTAAATAAAATACTTACTTTAAATAAAATTTGAGTTTTTGCAGTGTTGAGCTGTTTTTCCAATGATTTTATTTGTTCTTCAAACTTCATTCTTTCTTTTGAAGAAGCAGTTTGCCACTGTTGTTTGATTTTCTGTATCTCCTGTTCTGCATCTTGAAGCCTTCCTCTCAGTAAAGAACTCTAGATTAAAAAACTTATTATACATACATAACACTCACACACACACACACATCTATATATATATATATATATATATATATATATATATATATATATATATACATATATATATAGGAACATAAAAAGATAGACAAAAAGAGAGGGAGGAAAGAAAGAGAGGCAGGATTAGCAAAACGGAGTGAGGAAAACTTAATTGGGACCTACAATAGGGCACTCGGGTAAGGATGAAAGGGTCATCCCAGACCCTGCAAATAAGGCCAAGGAGTCTGATATGTTGGTATCTGATTCAAGCATACAAGATAAACTCCTAGTGGTAGGTAGGAAGCTAAGGGTTCAAGGGCCAAATATGGCCTGGCATCCAAGGTTGAATTGTCCGCTGCAAAGGCTCCAAGAAGATACAATAGGTAATTTACCCCAATGGCACCGCCCTCTTGGCCACCAGCTAAAGTCGCCTAAGGCTGTGGAGGCCTCTGGGCTAGCTTCAAAGAAGGACAAAAGAAAAAGAACCTCTCTGGACACCACGGCACCTAGTGCCAAGAAGCCCGGAGAGGCAGTTAGCAAAAGCTATGCCTCAGCCTTGAGATGTCAGCTGGTTGCGATGGTTCCTACAAACTATCTGCTAGCCATGCTTGACCATGAACAAGTAGAGGTACTAAAAGAGCTCAATGCAAAAGGTGGATGAGCTTGATGAAAATGGAGAGTACCACCCACTTTTTGATGGCGTAAGCTACAGGAATTGTCGCATATATGAATAATGAAACATGCACTTGGTTGACGAAAACCATTCCGAGCATTAACCTAGCAGAGGGTATTACCCTTCGTACGGGTAATACTCAGGAACTCACAAGAACCTTCAAGATAGGTGCCTTCTTTCCAGGAAGGGTTCTTACTGAGGAGGCTTTAATGAAAAGACTGAGAATGCAGAACACCACAACTGATGGTGTAAGAGAGTGGTATCTGCATTACTTAAAAGAAATACACAAGAGATTCTTTGCTATTTTCAGAATTAAAGGCTCCAGCTTAGAAAGCCTTAAGAAACATGGCATGAAGGCTGGCTGCGGCTAGTGACGTGTAACTTTTAAGGTCTTAAAAGAAAAGATCAAAGATGAAACTTCGATGCTACAGGAAGAGGAGATCCTGGAAGGATATTGAAGTTAAGCTCCTAATTACGGCGCTCAGAGAACATGCCTGACATCAGACACCTTGCTAATCGGAAAGGAGCCAACCAGAGTGCAGCAAAGGGAGGCACAGTGAAATCAGATTGGGGAGCAGAAGCTCTTCCTCCTGGTGAATCTCAGCCATCTTTGTTAACGGTGAAACTGGTACCTGGAAGATTAAGTAAGGAAAAGGGAGTGATGTCCGGTGTTGGACCAGGAGGAGGGAAGAAACTGGAGAAGATAGTGAAAACTGTCTCCTCCAGCGGAATCCTGCCACTGGAACCGTTGGTGGACCAACCCCCAACCACATATAATATATTAACTTTTGGGCAATGGGCACTGAAGGAAACCGGAGGCGGGGTGGATTCTAAAGGCTCAGTAAAAGCTGGGTCTGAGGGTGAGAGCCTGCCACAGTCTCCATCTGGGAGTATGTCTAACATGTACATTGATTAACCTACTTAGACGAGGCTGCTGCAAATCAATCTACACCACTGCATTGCAGCTAGTGGAGTACTTCTACAGTATATTAAAAGTGAGGACATTGATATTATATTAATAATTAAAGAATCTTACTAAAGCAATAACAGGATCAGGGGATTGGTAATTAATGATTATGGAACTATTACTGTTGCCACCAATCCCAGGGTCTGTATTCTCTATAAAAAAACCACTAAAATTACTGCATGTTTGACAACTTTGTTCTAGAGATTGGGTAGCAGCCAAATTTACTACACCAAAAGACAAGAGGACACTAACCATAGTGGCGGGTTATCTGCCATATGAGTCGGGAGATCCTGCGCAAGACTTGGATAAGATTATAGATTCCACTAATGAAGACAACCTGATGGGACTTGACGCCAAAGCCCACAATATTATATGGGGCAGCAGCAACAACAACCCCAGAGGTGAGATGTTCCTAGATTTTTTTTTTCCATGGAACGGCCATAGAGACCACGCGAATATCATGACATTTGGCTTCTTTCTTGTTTTTCCTTCCTTTCCACTTCTCTCTCATTATCTCCGCGTGCCGCCGCTTTCTCTCCTCCGTCCACGCGACTCCCTTTCTCGAACTTTTCTTCTTAACAAGAACCGTGATCTCCTTTAGTCTCTTACCATATCCCTCTCTGTCCAGACAGTCCTGGTCCGTTATTCCAAGTCTTTCCGTTTCTTCCTTCATCTGCCTGATGTATCCTCCCAAGCTTTTGTATCTACGGATTTTTTGGAATATTTCCTTGTTAAGTCTTTCTGGGGCCATTCTTACCATATGTCCGTGGAATTTCAGTCTCCTGATCCTTATTTCCGTTTCTAGATCTCTTTTGTCCTTGTATATTTCCTGATTGGATCTTAGCCTGTATCCTTCTTTTGTCTTTTTGGGGCCGTAAATCCTTCTTAGAATTCTTCGCTCTATTCTCAACAATTTTTCCAGACTGGGGAGGCATGTGGTTTCCGTCCCGTATAGTATCACAGGTTTAACAACTGTATTGTAGTGTCGTATTTTTGCTTCCGTGGACAGGTTTCTCTTGTTGTATATGTTACTGGTTGCAAAAGTTAGTTTTTCCAATTTGGCTATTCTTTCCTTGATACTTTCTTTTTCCGAACCATTATTACATATAGTCTCACCCAGGTACTTAAATTTATTTGTTACATTTATTGACCCGTATTTGGTTTCCACTGTTTTCTTCTTGAAGTCTGCGTCTGTGGTCATTAATTTTGTTTTTTCGTAGGAGATTTGGAGACCCGCTTTTTTGGCTATTTCCGTCAGTGTATTTATTTGGTCGATTGCCGTTCTTCTTCCGTTTCCGCTAAAAGTGCAAGATCGTCTGCATAGGCAAGACACCTTACCTTGGCGTGGTTGTTTTTGGTCCCTATACTTGCACGCACATCATTGGTTTTCCACAATTCCTTCATTATCCTATCCAGTACCATGTTGAACAGTGTTGGGGAGAGACCGTCTCCTTGTCTGAGTCCCGTCCTTATCCGGAAAGATTTGCTGGTGGTTCCTCTGAATCTTACCTTGGATTCGGTGTCAGTTAGTGTTAATTCTATTAGTTTCCTGGTCTTCTGGTCCACTCCGTATTCTTTCAGTACTTCCAGCAGTGTCTTTCTATCCACTGAGTCGTACGCTTTTTTAAAATCAACAAACGAGATGTAGAGGTTCTTTTTGGGCCTTGCTTTGTAGTATTTTATCAATAATTTTAGGCTCAGGATTTGTTCTTGACATGATCTTCCCTTTCTGAATCCTCCCTGATATTCTCCGATTTTAGGGTCTATTTGTGGGTTTAGTCTGTTGAGTAGTGCTTTGGAGAAAATTTTGTAGCTGACGGGTAGTAGGGAAATTCCTCTGTAGTTGTCAGCTTCTGTTTCTGTTCCTTTCTTATGCAGTGGATGTATCAAGGCGGTTTTACATTCTCTGGGGATTTTCTCCTCTAACCAGATGTTCATAATCAATTCTGTGATCTTCTTCCTGAATTCATCACCTGTTACTTTCCACATTTCCGCCAATACTCCATCCTCTCCAGATGCTTTATTGTTTTTAAATCCCACGATTATTTCTTCCTCGTCGGGTGGGTCCGATTCCATCTTCAGGAGGGTGTTGTCATGTGGAGTCATTCTGTTTGGGCTCCTCGCAGTTCAGCAGTTGTTCGAAATAATACACCAGTATGTTGCAATTTTCCTCGTTTGTTTGTGTCAGTGTTCCGTTTTTTCTTTTTATCACTATTCCTCGGGGGATGTAGCCTTTGACTCTTTGATTAAAAGCCTTGTAGAATAGTCTAGTATCGTTTCGTCTGAAAGGTTCTTCCATTTCTTCCAGCTGCCTGTTGAAAAATTCCCTCTTTTTCCTCCTTAGTATTTGGTGCGTAATTTTTCTTTCGATTATATACTTTTAATAGTTCTCGACTGTTTTGTTTTGGTTCCAGCTTTTCCACACTCCCAGTCTTTTCCTTACTGTATCTTCGCACTCTATGTCCCACCATTCTTTTCTTTTATATATTTCTAGCGGTGCTATTTCTTTCACCAGGTCCGTCATGTTCTTAGCCGCTTCTTCCCAGTTTTGTGGGGTTTTTAACCTTTCTCTGTATTCCGGTTTTTGTCTCTTATCAGGATTTGTCTATCTATTTGCTTGTTCTTTGGGTTTTTTGTGTATTGAATCTTTTTTGCTGGTACCAATTTTAACTTAATTGTAAGGGGAAGTGGTCAGATGTTACATTGATTGCTCTTTTTACTCTGACATTCTCTATTTCCTTTTGGTATCTTCTGGAGATCACCACAGTTGGAACTCCCCCATGAGGGAATTAGGTGATACCCATGTTTTCTTTTTGCTGGGTTTTGCTTTGTAATGTGTGGACATGATTTTTAATCCTGCGTTTTGGCATAGTTGTATCAGTCTTTCTCCGTTCTTATTTGTCCTCTTGTGTGCTGGATACTCTCCCACTATTTCCCTATATTTCTTTTCTCGTCCTAATTGTGCGTTAAAATCTCCCAGTAGTATTTTTACATTGTTTTGAGGTATTTTATTAATCTCGTCTTCTAGACCTCTCCAAAAGTCCTCCACCTTCTCCGGGTCCCTCCTGTTATCTTCATTTATGGGTGCGTGAGCATTTATTAGCGTGTATTTTTTGTTAGTTGCTTTTATTGTGAGGAGTGATAGTCTGGAGTTGGTGCTTCTGAAGTCTGTTACTGAGTTTAAAAATTTCTTATCTATTACAAAGGCTGTCCCTAGGTGTGGAATCCCTTTCATGATTTTCCTTCCTGACTTTCCCTTGAGTAAGGGACATCCCCTAAGGACGCCGAAACAATAACGGCCTGTTGCTAGACTTTATTATTAGTAATAACTTATACATA